AAAAGAGGTAGTGATTAGAAAGGCTCGGGTCAAGGCCAAATTGATGTCAAATGGCTTAAATTAGCCCCACTAGTCTCAGTTGATTTATACTCGACAGTAAATTGAATCTGCCGAGCAGAAACCCTTAACAATGGCTTCAGAGTCTAATTGATCTCTAGTTTTGCGGCATCATTAAATCTATGTGCACAACAATGGAGAATCTGGTAATTATTAGAACAAAGCTAAGAGAGAAGAATGCAAAGAGAAGTGGGCTGAAGTAATTCTCCTTCTGTGCCCTGTAAACAATTGTCTTAAACAGCTGTCGCTTGTGCACACAGTGGAGCGTCTATTTTGAGCCGTTTTCTTACTCGGAAAGGGGCATAGTAAATGCCTAATTGAAATTCCCTGCCTCCCCTAACAGCTAAAAAAATCTGGTTTACTTTTTGAATTCCATGGAATCGCTGAACCCTTGAGCTTCCCAGTCTGGCAGCTCAGGCAGGAGCTTCCTCAATTGGTGGCGATTGTCCAAAGTCCCACAGGTCCTCACCCGGTGACTTCGCTCGATCAGCTGTTGGCTCCATCCGTCAGAATTCCTCGTTTCCAGGTCTTCATCCACTTCCTGGGGAACATTGAGGGGAGGCTGGATCCTCATCTGCTGAAGACCTGGACCCCCCTGTCACCCTTGATCATCAGACGGAGGTTTAGTGCTGGATTCTCTGCTCCTGGAGGGCCTGGTGTCTTCTGGATTTTTGTCAGCTAAGCTATCCTTCTTAGTTGATTCCACACACAGTATATAAGACTTTCTTCATGCTTACTCGAAACATTCACTTAGCTAAAGGCGGTGATCTAGAAGAACGTTTCAGATCCTGTTTAGAGGTATTGCAATGGCACAGTTTAATTAGGTCCACTAAGTAGGTGGGAGCTCGGGTCGGAAATGGGGCTGAAGCCAGTAAGCTCCCAGGGTGATTGAGACTTCCGGTTTAGGATATGTGTGGAACTCGGACCTGAGATCAAATATTAGGAAGTTTTTTTTCAAAAAAGGTTTCCATCCATCGGTGGATGTTTCGGATAGTGCTCATAATCAAGACCTAAGCTTTCTCTGTGGCACTTCAGAAAGCGATCCCCTGACCTCTGACCCCTCCGTTGACCCTGAGCACCCATTCCAGTACTGCCGGGGAACCGATGCTAAAACCTCCTGGGCGGCAGAGAGCCGCTCGAGGAGTGTTAATAGAATCAGTGTTTACCCGTCGCAGGGAGTGTGTGTTACGGTGGCAGGGCTGGTGTCAAACAGGCAGCAGGAACCAGCCTGGAAGCACAATCATTCCAGACATCTCCGCAAACACAGACGAGCTTCCAGGAGACTAATACCCGACTAGCAGCACACAACCTGACCCCCAGCCCGCCGCGGTGTTCGATGTGAGATTTGTGAGGCGGTGTGAGCCGCCCCCACTGTGGCGAATCTGTCCATCAAAGAGCCGGCTGGTGACCGCACACAGAGAGGCAGGGGAGGGCCAGCCGAAGGAGCCCGAGCCTGGCTTTCAGAGACTGCCTGGCAGGTGGCTGAAAAAGGAAAGCCCTGCTTATTCTTACGCGTGACGGAGGAGTCTTTCCTATCATGACAGGCCTGCCACCCACCCGTTTAGATCTTTGATCTGCCACCTTTGAATACGGCTCCGAATTTGTTCCTCGCTGTTAGAAATGTGGCAGAAACAAGAGCGCCGGCCCGTCTAAGTGTCTGCAGATTCCACCTGACCTGACCCAAGGGGAGAGACTGACACCTGAAATATATTTCTAACAGGAGGGTGAACCAGCTGTTTCGGGTTTGTCTTGCTCACGATGCTGTGTAAATACAGTACGCAGCCATGGGTGGCATTGACCGGGAGAGGAATATAAATACAGTTACACAGCTAGCTGGTTGTCATCTTTTTTTTTTGGTGCACGATTATTCAATTCATTTCATTTTTATATAGCGCCTTTCACAACAAGGTTGCCCCAGGGCCCTTAACAAAGCAAGTGACCATACATGTTGTGAACACAGCACAGAAAAGACCAGAAGACAACGGAGGAGAGGAACCAAAAACTCCTCTGTAAGGAGAAATAAAAACCTCTAGGGGTCCAAGGTCAACTGGCTGCCCAACCCCTTTGAGCATGCTACCATTATAATTTAAATAAAAGGAAATAAATGAATGAGGGTATTAATCCATCCATCCATCATGTCTTCTGTATGTCAGTACTCCATGCAGATCTCTGTAGACCAGCAAAATCCTCCTAAATGATAGCTATATCCACAATGTCCCTCTTGGAGCTGAAGATTCCATAAAAACAGCTCGGATTTTATCTGCATTGTTTTGTTTTTTTTGCATCACAGGACTCTATCAGAACCAAATGAGGCGCCGAGCAGAAGCACAGAACAATCCACCGCAGGCCTAAGGAATGATGCAGAGGGCACCTGCTGATCTCCTCTGTGATATTTTCAGGATCCTTCCAAACCAAAGTCCCTCTGGGAACCTCGAAGGCTCCAGGAGCACAGCAGGCCTCAGCTGGCTTGGCTATGGAACCTGGAGAACAATTCCCCTCCAGTTCTCCGAGGGCTGGGAATGGCGCTGTTTGGCTCCGGGGGTTGAGAGGTTCGGAAGAGCCGGATTTGAACCCCATCAGGGGCACAGCTGCACATACTAACTTCACTCAACCTCAAGCCTGGTGCTAACAACCCTTCTAACCCAACCCTAACGCAGGAGTCTGCAAGAGGCCCCAGGTTCTGTGAAGCCCTTCACCACCTGTGTGATCTCATTCTTGGCTGAACTGCACCAAGAATGGTGCAAAAGAGCAAGGCCTTTTCCCAGCGGTCTCAGGTGCGAGAGCTGGAGACAGACCTGCTGGATTGCTGCCCTCGGGGGCTGGCGATCTGTAGCCCGGCCAGAGCCGCAGCCCGAAGCCCCGACTGTTAAACTCGCCTGGAGTGCACGGCCTGCAGAATCAGCGGGTACAGTACCTGGATAAACCAGGGGCTTTGAACTGGACAGGCCTGCTGCTTTCCTCCGCAGAGCTGGCCATCCGGTGGAGAACAGTCCCAAGGCTGACGCACAGCCGGCGGACGCAACAAGAATTAATGCACCTCAATAATACTGGCAATTTTTATTTCATATAGCGCCTTTCATGATGCGTCACAGCTGGGCGCTGTGCAATTAACCAGTGCCAACAGGCAGGCATTTGAGTCAGGCTTTGAGTCAGGAAGCTCACCACTTGGATCGCCTTCTAAATAGTGAACCAGGGGTACTTTCTATCCAGAGCAACAGGTAAGGGTCTCTTCCCTGCTGAAGAGAAAAGAGACACAACATTTCAGCTGTGGAGCCTTTTTGTAGGAGTCACCTGAAGAAGGCTCCACAGCCGAAACATGTCTCTTTTCTCTTTGCAGCAGGGAATAAACCTTTACCTCTTCCTTTGCAGCCTAAGCATACTGCTGCAGCTCCCTACTTGCACTTTTTAATCCAGTTCTGTAGCAGGGAGCCGTGGGGATTTCAGACAGTGCTATCAGTCGAACCTAAGCTGCAGGCTTCGTCAGTGTCAGTGTCAGTGTCAGCTCCTCTTCTCTGCGCCGTCTTCGGTTTGCTTGACTCGGAGGCCGAACTCCTGTCTGGGAAACTGAAACTGACTGTCTTTAGGAGCACTTGTTTTTCCAGTCACTAACAGGAGATGAAACCGCTTAAGATAATTAAAACCTTGTGAGGTCATATATTCGGTTGCTACGTAAGAACCTGGTGTGGATTTTGTCTGCTGTATGACTTTGATTTACTTGAACGCGGGCTACGATAATCACCCGTTTCAAGCGCTTCGTAGCTCTAAATAGGGGTGTCGGGCCTGTTCTTGCAATCACCACAAGGGGTCGCTGTGGCTCCTCCGTGCAAGTGCAGGACCCATCAACTCGCAGCTGCACCCGACCAGCAAATGTGAAGTTGTTCCACTTATCGGTCTAAATTCCAGAGAGATTTAAGATTGAATGGTTTACAATTTAATATGCCCACAAGTGCTTTCTCGGGTTTTTATGTGGTTAGAGAATAATAAAAACGACATGTCCAATATATTCTAAATAAAAGGAGAAAAAGAAGTCCCATTGTTCTTTCTGAAAGCCTCTGTTTCATAAGTAGCTAAACACTGGGACTTGCAGGCTCAGAAACTGGGTTCCTTTTCGTGTTTTTTTCAGATAAAATTAAGAATATGTGGTGTTCAGCACCTGGAGGCGTCTGAAAAGCTCTGACAAATAAAGATGTGTGGTTCTATTCGTATGGGCACCGAGAAGGACACGGCATCACGGTACACACATATGAAACTATACAGGAATAAAGTTGTTCTTATCGCCCAGAGATAAAACAAAATAAGCGTCCAGGGTGGGTTTGCCGTCCTGACAAATGCCAGCGACGTTCTTTCTGAAGGTCGAGACGTTTTTATTAAACCTGCTCGATCAGACCGCCTCCCAAGTGTCACTCGGGACTTCGCTAGTGACATTAAGGATACAAACCCTTACTGCACCGCCCTGATGGAGATCTCGCCAAGACGAAAAACAAGAGGGTACACCACAGAGTTTTTATTTTAATTTTGAAATGGCAATCCCAGTCTCATCACACCGCCGACTAGAAGGTAGCTACGGTCGTCCGGTTAGCATCTCGCTTACGGAGCCCGTTCAGGTTCGCAGGAGATCCAAACGGAGCCGTGTGCGACCTCTGCCCGAGCGATGCGCCGCCACGGCTCTCCCTTTTCACGGGGGGGAGATGGCAGAAGACCGGGCGGCCCGGCAGAGCTCCGCATCGACTGCGCACAGCGCCGGACCCCACCTGCTAATTCTCCTCCTCGGCTAGTGCTTTCCTGCTCGCCGGCCGGGCGTTTTCTATAGGCACCCCTCCCTCCTCAGATGTTGGTTGGACACTTCCGTATCAACTCCGCCTCAGGGACATCGTCATTGGGGCTTCTGTGCTGTCAATTTCAGTCCGTCTCCCAACCAATAAATAACCCCCCCCCTCCTCCTCCAAAACACACACACGTCCCGTCCCCCCCCTCCTCCGGATCGGAAAAGTCCATGCCTAAGTTTCAGCTTAGATCTGACAGATAAAACGAGGGACAGGAGTCCGGAGAAAGCAGCCGTCATGCGATTTTGGGGGGGTGGGGGATTCTCGCCTTGTGCAAGGAAATCAGAGTCACCTTGTGTCGTCGCCCCAGGGGGCTGAACGGCTGGCGCAGACGGGACGGATGGAGTGATCTGGTTAGGTGTTCGGCGGAAACGAAAACAGACCCCCCGCACTCCCTCTTTAAACTTTCCTGGAAGGAGCGGAGTCGGGGTGACTCGCCAGTCGGAGCTCGGAGCCTCTCCGCACGGAAATGCTTCGGCGCTGTCGACTCTTCCGCCGATTTGGGAATACAACGCGGAATGCTGGACTTTAAAAAAAAAAAAACGGGGGATTTTCCGACGACCCTCCGAGCCAAATTGATCGCGCCGTAGCACAGATAAAGGAGAGAGCGTTCGGCGCAGAATTCCGTTTCCCGAGTTGGATTATGGCTCTCGAATCGCGTTTCCCCCAGTAGCTGAAATCCGCCCGCTCTTCGCTGCTCGAATCTAACCCTTCCCAGGCTTGAGATGAAAAGGTTACGGGTTGAAAAAGGGAGTATGCTGCAGACTTGCCCCGTGTTGAAAATGATTTTCTTGACTTCGTTTTGGAGAGGTAAGAGAGCGATCGCCACCGGATCACTCGATAAGAACTTGTTGCTGCAAACTTGGCTAATCTCTTAATAAACTTGCCTTAAAAATAGCGCTCCCCGCCATTCATATAAAATAAATGCCTTTAATACGCCGTTTTACTTTGCCTCTATCGCCCGTATTTCTTGATAGCCTTTTCCCACAGAAAAGCGGTTCTGTCATTGTTTTGTCTATTCAAACATGCTCATCCGCGCTTTGTTGTGCGTGTAACATTGGGGCTGGTATTTGACTGTAGCTTTTATATCCTTCAAGGTTCAGATATACACTTTTTATCTATAAGCGGATGAGCGAATGTTCTGGGTAGAATGAGCCGCAGGATGTAACATTCAGTTACAACGTGACTCCCACTTCACAACTATTCAGAGGGAAACGGCACGTTCAGGTTAATTCAAGGCTTAAAAGGGTTTTATATTGTTATTTCAGGCAAACCTACAGGTGCAAAAGCCGCGACAGAGAGGGGGCGTAGATTTAACATTTTATAAATGCCCCGAACCATAACAACATCAAGCACCAGCCCAAGAAGATCATTTTCATTAAGTAATTGTTTGGCACGGTATTCGTTTAGAAAACTTGTTGATGTACAGCGTGCTGGGAAACCAGTCCATTTAGATTCTGGACAAGGAGAAACATATTTTCAAAGGGACGGATACGGTTAACGCAAATAAAGTTACATAGGAAAGGAATCGGTCTATCCTTAAGATAGTGAAGCACTTTGAGCTGCCTCGCGTGTAACGCAGAGCAGAAAGGAAATAGTGAATTTTTGATGAAATTGTCCTGTTCTCATATAGGTTCCTGAGCGCAGGCTACAAAAATTGTTTTGCTCAGAAAATGGGTAACCTTTGAGTTCTGAGAGCTGCCTCCAAATCGGAGTTCTAGCATGGATAATTGGGTCTGTACCGGGAGCGCCTGGAGAGCTGGGCTTCCCCGAATCTTACTTGGAAAGTGTGCGGTTTTGAGAACTACAGAAATGAACCCGCAAAGAGCGACATTCCGCTCGTCATCTCCGCTCATCAGCTTCAGAGCGAAAAATCCAAGGCGATCAGGAATTTCCTTATACAACACATTACTGGAATCTTCTAGTGTGGCTTTTATCAAGTGGGGTTAATCACTCCTTAATTCGCGAAAGGTGCGTGTTGTAGATCGGATCGTTGTTCTGCATCTAAACCCTGCACCGCAAGTTTTCTTTATTAATACTGGCGCCCGTGGTGAAGTTCTCCGCGCCGATCATCGAGGTGAAAATTCTCAGTGCGCCAGCAACTAGCCAGGCAGAATGCTGCGCCAGGTGCGATTCTGCCGAACAGAATGAGACAGCGTGATTCGAAAACGCGGCTTCAAAAGGCATGTAACCGGAGGCCTTGGAGCTGCCTGGTATCTGCCATCAGTGTGCTACTGGGATCGGTGTTTGATTCAGAAGCGGTTTTGCCAGCACAGCCCTGTTTGTCTTTCTATGCGTGTAAAAATTAATTTGATAGCGTGAAGCAACAAGAGGGGATAAAGACGAGCACTAAATCTATTTTTTTTGAGGCGGACATGCCCGGCCCTGAGAGTGCTGGGGTGAACAGCTAAACGCTCTAACTGGGAAACAGTCAGCTCCTGTTTACAAAGGCAAATGCTGGTCCAGAGGCCGAGGACACCTGTTACTAACGCGGGACGCAAGTAACTGGGACGTGTTGAGCGTTAATGCTAGTTTAAACACTTGCGCTTTATTGCCTATTAATCTCAAGCGAGCGCGATTAGACCAAATAAAGGCGGTAGTTGGACGTTTTTATATGGTTTGAACGTTTTTATACCTGCTTTGAAGCAGGTCCTTTCTGCACCTGCTTCAAAGAATTAATTTAAAGCAGGCGAATTAAAACGTAATTACAGCTAGTGTCTGAACGTGAACTGTGCTTGCTGCTCTTTTTCCTTTGACGAGCTGAAGGCGTCTGAATTGCCTGTCATCCCTGTGCACAGCGATTGCATTAACTGCTGTTGGTTTTTCCTCGGGGTGCAGACCATGCAATATTCCCTTTAAGTTACTTAGAGCGTTAAGGCCACACAAGTCATTCACAGTGACCATTTTGTGACGCAGAGCAAAACACGAAAGCTGTCGTCTTGATCGGGAGTTCGGACAAGCCCGTGATTCCGCCGGGCACAGCGCGTCAGGAGCTCTGACCGCTGAGTGGAGACGACACGGAGGGACTGCGAAAGAGCAGTCTGGTGGTCAGTAGTATGATGAAGCAGGGAAGGGCCAGAGGGAGAATCCTGTTTCTTCACCGCAATCGGTTTATTTTTAACGCCCGTTCACTGAGGGTGTCCCGCCTAAGTTAGTCACGGCCTCCACGGTTATTCTTGAAACGGTTGTACTTGTGTTATCATGTTGCAGGGGGCTTTGTAATTCTCAGGAGCTAAAAATCCACTATGAACAAAATCAAAGTTTCTATCGAACCGTGTACAAGAAATCAGGGCGGGTAAAATGTGCACTCGTTCAGCGTCAGCGTTTGTAATATAGGCTTAAATAATTAATGCGCGTCAAAAGTTTTTTTTTCTTCCCTTGTGGCTGTTTCCGTCTGGGATGTAACAAACTTCTACCCCTGCGGGGACCGTGTTTCTGTGTTTATAGAAAACCTGTACGGCCCATCTGTGAAACGTGATAGATTTAATATATATATATATGGTCCTTGTTAATGTATTAACACGGGGAACGCAAGAGATACTCAAGTAGAAAACGGATTTTTAATGCTCCTAATCTCCAGATCAGAGAAATAAACACGATGTTCCCTAACCCTCTCTGCCTGGGTGTGTTGCAGAAGCAGAAGGGTTTCTGCTTCGTGTTGCGGTTTAAGCGCTTCAAGATCATTTAAGATTTCTCCCTTTCCCTTTAGAAGTGCTCAGGCGAGTTGAGGGGGCTCT